TTGAACACATATACATTAGAGCACAGTGAATTTTTTTTTCTTTGCATACCACAGCATGTTAGGAAGTTGGGGTCAGAGCGCAGGGTCAGCCATGATACAGCGCCCCTGGAGCAGAGAGGGTTAAGAGCCTTGCTCAAGGGCTCAACAGTGGCAGCTTGAACCCCCGACCTTCTCTGATCCCACCACTGTCCCCAGCATTTCTTTATTTTGTACACTAGTGTAAAATAATTATATACAGTACTGTACAAAAGTCTTAGACACATGCAAAGTGTTTAAGATGCTGTAGAGTAATTTAAAAAAGAAAACTTTCTACAGAAGTAATAGTAACAAATGCAACAAAGTCAATATTTGGTGTCTGTTTGCTAAAAAAAAAACATTCGTAGTCTCATGTACAGTTTGTGCAGTTTTATAAGGAAATTATCTGTAACTTTTACTGAGCATCTTGCAGAACCAGCTACAGTTCTTCTGGAGATTTTGACTGTTGTACTTGATTTCTTATTTTTGCAGAAAAACAAAGAAGCCTTCACTGTGTTCTTTTGTCTGAAAAGTGTTCCCTTTTGTAATATGTTGTTTTCTTTACTGACATACAAACAAAAATTTTCTGTAACGTTTAATGTTGTGCGGGAAAATTAATGTTTGGGAATCTAAAATGTTTTTGTACTGACTCGATAATGTAGAAGTCATAAAATAAAAATCTATTACAAAGTTTGAAGAAAAAAAATAAATAAATAGGGTGCCTGAGACTTTTGAACAGCACTGCAATCTCAAAGATACCTTAGTAAACAAATAGGATTTACAATATTGCTATGTAGATGGCATGGTGGTGCTGCAGGTAGTGTTGCCACCTCACACCTCCAGGATTCCTGGTTCGAGCCTAAGCTCCAGGTTCCTGTCTGTGTGGAGTTTCTGTGGGTTTCTTCACACCTGCAAAAAAACATGTCAGCAGGTGAATTGACTACACTAAATTGTCTTATATATGAACAGAACAATTGCTTTTGTGGTGCCCAGTGATGGACTGGTGTCCCATCCATGGTGTATTCCCATTTCTTGTGTTCCAAGAATAGTCTCTGGATATCCCGTAACCTTGACCAGGATAAACTGAACATGAATGAAGAATGAATGAAAGAATGTATGACTATTGCTATAGAACTAACTTAACAAGTTGCCTCATTTCAATCTTCTGCTTAATTTTTTTTTTTTGTCCTGGAATGAATACGGTCCAACTAAAGAAATAAACAAAATGGCATAGTTTTAACTACAGCTTCATTGCTGTTGCAGTTTGAATCAAGTGGGCTCTTAAAATTACTTATTGAATTCTTGAAGAAAAAATACATTAGTTTGCAGTCACTGAAGAGCACTTCAGAGTATAAATGTGGTCCAACATCAGACAAATACTGCATAAATAGTACCGTTATAAGGTCTTTCTTTACTGCTTTCTGCGTTGGCCTCCACAGGCTGTGGAAAGACCTCCCTGCTGGACATTATAACATGTCGAGATGAAGGAGGCACCAAGAAATCTGGTGAGATACTCATCAATGGCAAACCCTGCACACCCTCACTAGTGAAGAAAAGCATTGCTCACGTGCGACAGGATGACCGCTTGTTACCCCATCTGACAGTACGGGAGACTCTCACCTTCGTGGCCAAGCTGCGCCTACCAACACATTTTACACAGGCACAGAGAGATCAAAGGGTAAGACATGCAGCACTCATAAATTCTTCCGAATGTCCTTGACATCCTTGTCCATGTCTTGTCCAACTGAGGGAAAGGGGAAGCAATACTTCAATTCAATTCAATGTAATGTTGCTTAAAAACACATTAAGGGAAAATTTTCATTTGCAGTGCAGAGAAAAACAAAGCGACCATGTAAGTGTCTATCTAATACCATTAAATACCTCTTATTATGTCGCTCAGCTGACTGTAGCAGAGAAAATTAAGCCACAAAAAGAACTTTTTACAATATGACCATATAATACTATTAAATATATAATATTAGTAATGCTAACCAAGTAAATCTCTCTAGTTTCCAACTGTACATCACAGATCACTTTCACATAAATGGAGTGAAAATGGTTTCTGTTAACATAAACAAATTACTTGATGGCACTGGCACTAGCTGCAAATTTGATTTGATTTGATCTATTTATTTATTTATAATTGCTCAGTTCACTTTGTACAAGGTAACCTGAATTATCTGGGTGTCATCCTAATAAAGCTATCTCCTAATGGTGACCCGGTACAGTTCAAGGATGTGAGATATTATCATCCAGTCACCAGGATTATGAGTTTGGAGTTCACTGTTCAAGGATAACACATGTGATATAGAACAATAAAAGTAATTAAACAGAAGCCCATCTTGATATATGGGCATATATTATGTCCATCTCGCTGATAGAAAAGGTTACCCGAGTTTAACATACAACATGCAATCCAAAGAGATTCTTGCGATAACTGAGAGCAAAGTGAAAAAAACGACTGCAAAGGCTTCAGGACGGTAAGGGAAGTGTGTCCATGTAAAGTATCAACGTAATCAAGAACTGATAGGAAAGTTGCTCCAACAGATATCTTTCTACTTTAAAAAGGAAAGCTTGAGACCAATTTGCTTCAGTTCTCATTATAAAATGACTTATGTGGTATTTAAAGGTTACTATTTTTACTTGATATTTCTTTCAATAACCTCATTCATTTTTGGAAATATCCTGATTATCATAGGCAGTACATTAGCTCTGGAGAACAGGATAACAGGTGGTGATTGCAAATGGTAATGGTAATTTGTAAGACATCAGAGAAGAGTTATAGATTTATTGGTATCATCTTCATAAAGTGTGTTACAAAAAGAAACAATATTATCAGCAGTTATATGAAACAGTGTGTTCAGTTTAAGTGGCTTTCCATTATGAATTTGAACGTGAGCACTTGAACATGATGGAAAGGTTTGAAACAAGTTACATTTCAGAGAAATATGCATTCATTGGCTTAATCCCCTATAATAGTACAAAATTGGTTAGTGTATGTAAGCCTGATGAAGCAGTCTGTGCAGGTGGATGATGTCATTGCCGAGCTGAGGTTGAGACAGTGCGCTAACACTCGCGTGGGAAACAACTATGTTCGGGGTGTATCTGGTGGAGAAAGGAGGAGGGTCAGCATTGCTGTTCAGCTACTATGGAACCCAGGTGAGTTTGAGATACACCCAATAAAATAACATGGGTTTGGCACAGTTCTACAAAATCTGTTGATTGATTAAGCCTTTTTCCCCACAGACAATACACATGTAGAATATGGTTTATCTTTATATATTAAAGCTACCAGAATTTGTCCACATCTCTAGACACTACATATTTGTTTTTAGGTATTCTTATCCTGGATGAGCCTACGTCAGGTCTAGACAGCTTTACAGCTCACAACCTGATTATCACCTTGTCTCGTCTGGCCCGAGGGAACCGTCTGGTCCTGCTCTCGGTGCACCAGCCACGCTCAGACATCTTCCAGCTCTTTGACCTGGTGGTGTTGCTCTCCTCTGGCTCAGCTGTGTACTGTGGCCCTGCCAAAGACATGGTGCCCTACTTCACATCCCTGGGGCATCCATGTCCACGCTACTGCAATCCCTCTGATTTCTATGGTGAGTGAGCCCTGACTGACTGAAACACATCAGTGAATTCTTACTGAATTTCTTGGTTCGATCAAGGTGTCTGAATTGTTTCCGTCCAACGCAGTTGACTTGATCAGCATTGACCGCCGCAGCTCAGAAAAAGAAGCTGAGTGTCTAGAGAGAACAAGGGTCTTGGCAGTACAGTTTGCTGAGAAGGTGAAGGACACTGATGACTTCATGTGGAAGTCTGAGGAGCCTGATGTTCCAGTGCTAGATAATATCCAAAGGTAATTATTATTTTGTAACCGGCTCATCTCAGTAGGGTTCCCTCATGAGTAGCTGATTTCAGAAGGAAAGTTCATGGTTTCTTTTCTTGGAGAGAAAAATCTGTTTGATGTTTTTGCTAGCGATGTCCCTTCTACACCAAAAGCCGAAACACGCGTCCCAGTGTCACAAGGGAAGGCCCATCGACCAGGCCGGCTGCACCAGTTCTCCATTCTGATTAGGTGAGAAAGTCCAAAACAATAGATGTTAAATGAAATGTAGAGAGCCTGTGGAACAGCACATCAGAGTATCATCTGCATGAAGATGGAGTGTAATCAGATACACCAGACACAGCATTAACAGAACAGAACCCTTTTGTAAATTTGAATTCAGGGTTTCAGTGTAATTACAAAACCATACCAACTATATTGGATTAATCGGATTAAAAAAAAAAAAAAAAAGTGTATTTTTTTTTTCTTCTGTACATACCAGATTTCAAGTGCTTTTGCATGTAGCCTATTATATTTCAAATGTAACTAGCTTGTTCGGAGTGGTTAGTGTGTGCTTAGTATTTACAGTATACTGTCTAAGGCATTGATTATATTTAGCTGCATTTCTCATTCTCTTTAGTTTTGGAAAATTGCTCATGCCTAACAAACTTTATAGAGCAACGTGTGCATTAGTCGTTGTATTGATGTGGGAACTTCAGTATATCATCCCAGGTTGTCTTTGTGTCATGTTTGTTTGTCTGTGTCACCAGACGGCAGGTGTTTAATGACTTTCGTGACCTGGTGACGCTGGTGGTGCATGGTCTAGAGGCCCTGCTAATGTCACTGCTCGTGGGCTTCCTGTACTTCGGGGCAGGTGAGCAGAAGCTGCCAGTACAGGACACTGTTGCCCTGCTCTACATGATCGGAGCTCTCACACCATTTGCTGTGGTGCTGGATGTCATAGCCAAGTGTGAGTCTCAATTTCACGCCTATTAGGATTCACTTGAGCAAAAGCTTCTTTGTATCTACCCAATCTTGATGTACTGTATGTTGTTGTATTTACAGGTCATTCAGAGAGAGCCATGCTGTATCATGAACTGGAAGATGGAATGTACTCAGTCACCTCATATTTTTTTGCCAAGGTACAGTACATATGTACCTGGTGGTCTAGCGGCTAAGGATTCCATTCTCTCATTGCTGTGGCCCGCGTTCGATTCTCAGGCTGGGAACCCCAGGCACTAGGGGTTTCACTCTGTGCTGGTTCCAAGCCCGGATAAAATGACAGGGTTGCGTCAGGAAGGTTGTGCCAAATCAAAGAGGCAACCCAATGATCCGCTGTGGTGACCCCGAACGGGAACAGCCGAAAGAACAACATCATATTACACCAAGAATAGCATGACCACAAGGAGGCAGCAAAGCTCCATGCCCTTTCTGGCAATTGTGAAATAGCATTTTCTTGGATTGAATGTATAACATGTTATTTCCATGTTTGGACAATTGAGGTCTAAAATCCACAGTGATTATGTGTGCATCTCTCTCTCAGGTTCTGGGTGAGTTACCAGAGCATTGTGTTTTCACACTGGTATACAGCTTACCTATCTATTGGCTAGCTGGTCTGAATGACTCACCAGACCGCTTCCTGCTTAACTTCATGCTGGCATGGCTGATGGTGTACTGCAGCCGCACCATGGCTTTGTTCACAGCAGCCGTGCTACCCACCCTCCAGACCTCTTCCTTCATGGGAAACTCCCTTTTCACTGTTTTCTATCTGACCGGTGGCTTTGTCATCAGTCTGGACAACATGTGGCTAGGTAAAAGAACCTGTTATCCACAATCACTCAAAAATATTATCCTCCAACACCCAACACTAACAGTTACTTACTGAGAAATTCCTCAAGCATTGCTGTTGCTCTAATCAATGTTTTCCTTCCCTCAGTTGCTTCCTGGTTTTCCTATATTTCCTTCATGCGCTGGGGTTTTGATGGGATGCTGCAGGTTCAGTTCCGTGGCCTCAAATATTCAGTCAGCCTGGGAAACCTGACCATGAATGTAGACGGCATTAAAGTAAGTATACGAGATTCGTTTTGTTTTTTTAAATCACAGCTTCTTTTTCCCCCCACAAATGAGATTGATAAATGTGAAATTCACATGTGATTTTATTTATTTTGCCCCTGCCAGGTGGTGGAGGTGATGCATATGAACCAGTTCCCACTCTACTCCTGTTATTTAGTGCTGATCGCTGTAGTGTTGGTCTTTATGTTGCTCTACTACCTGTCACTCAAGTTCATTAAGCAGAAGTCCAGTCAGGATTGGTGAAGAAAAAGCTGCAGCCAAAATCACTTTGAGACGAACTTTACGCCTTACATATGAAGCCAGCCCACTGCAGAAAGATGGCAGCACCAGCCTGTTCTCAGTCCACACTGAGATGATATAAGAGAACTCTGGAGATAAATGCTCATGTTTGCATATACTTACACACAAGTTTTGTCAGCTGTCATTATTGGACATTTATCAATCCAACAATTTTAAGGTGCTTTGTGACATATAAGGGCAACGTTTCTGAATAATAGCATTAGCAGTTTATCCTTACAAAAAAAAATGCCACCTTGTCTAAATCATTGGACGTCATGACAGCTCCATGTTTGTCCCATTTATTAATTAATATCAGGGTCATCAGAAGGTTCCCCAAATTACCATTTGGAGGTTGACATGAACAATTTTTTACTTCTAATCAAGCCTGTATTATGTGAAAAATCCTAAAAGGAACAAAGTGACATGTGTACAGTATGCAGCAGGAAATACTGTCATGAACAAAATGGTGGCTGGTTGAGCATCTTGTATTAAGTGTTTTTAAATGCCAAACTGTGTTACGCATTTACCAAAGACTAATAAAAGAATGGAGAGGGGCGCAAGATGTAAAATCCCAGGTATTTACAAAGTGGTATACCATTAACAACATAAACAATCCCAAAGTGATTTATGAATAAATAAATGTGAAGTTATCGTTATGATTTCAAGAGTAGTGGAAGAGTACTCACCAAAGTCTCTGGCCTCCAAGAGATTCCAAACTTCAAACGAGTTAATAAAGCTTTGCAACAAACAATAATATGACTAGAATTCTGCATAAGGGAACTTTGAGAAGGCGACTTAAATGAGATCTTTAGAAGATGAGAAGATTCAAAAACTTGAGTGTTTGAGTTGTTTATTAGACTACAACTGACTGCCGCTGGATGGCAGCAAAGCACCATGCACACCTTCCTTTCACTGGTTTTCTTTTTGTTTGTTTGTTTTGAAAATTGCAAATGAAAGATATCGATCAACAGCTTTTGTTCATTCCTTTTATGGATGTTTATTTTCTATACTGTGATTGTTAATCTTAATGAGTTATGGAGGTTTAAGGGATATCTTGAGTATTTTTACTAAGTTAAACTATCAAAGCATTTCTATGTTAAAATCCTGATGATGGAAGTTTTGCACTGGTGCAAAACCCTGATAATTGTAGCAAGAATGTCTGAAATACAAAAAACAAAACAAAACCCAGAACTGAAGTGGTGTGTGTGTGTGTGTGTGTGTGTGTGTGTGTGTGTGTGTGCGCGTGTTATTCATCTTCGTGACATTTTTATTATTCATTCAGATTTATGATATACAGTATACCCAGTATTGTAGAGGAATATATGGTTATCGGTTATCACTAAATAATAGATGTGCTGTGTTAAGTGTGCAAACTTTGTTATTCTTCGTTTTATTCTTAAGTTATAGCCAATTGGCAGCCATTACAGTTTTCCAAACCAGTTCCATATCCTCTATACACACTATTACAGACTAAATGTAAAACGTTTACACCCAGATGTTCTCTTGGTCTCCATTTTTAAAAATATCTTTGCAAATTTAATACCAGCTTAGGCTTTTGTAAAGTGTATGAGTGTGCAATGACACCCATAAAACAAAAACCAACAAAAAGAGAAGAAACTCCAAAAATAAACATTTGTAACACATTTATTAGCATAAATACTTCTGTACATGGGATTATTTGTTTTCAATGCAACTGTAATGGGCAAGAGTTTACCACGCATCACTGACTTCAGAACATGAGAGGATCTGGGCTTACATATATAAAAAACATTAATTAAAGAAAAGAATAGTGAGAGGGAATCTAGTTCTCTGTTAATCTCTGGGTCTGCAAGGCCTTCAGTTTGTCTGCGTAGAACTTGAATGTCTCCTGTGGGAAGAAGAGGAAAAACATGCGTAAATATATAGTTGAAAGAAAGAGGGATAGAAATCCAAAATGTGACATCCTGCAACATGCTACTTCTCTCTCTATCGCTCTAAAAAGGAGTTTGTTGTGCATTACAATCCAAATCTACAGTCCTTACTCTACAGTAGACTAATAAGAATGAAAAATCTTCTCTGTGGTTGCACTTTGCAAATGAAATGTGTAAACATCGTTACACTCTGCCCTCCTTCAAACCTGTCTAATTAAATGGTGGCTGTTTCAAAAAGCAGGCCTCTTTTTTTTTCTGGAAGGTAAGCACTTTCAGAAGATTACCGTGGCTCAGACGTTGTGTTTTCTCCCTATTAATGTTGTAATTAAAGTCAATAAGTAGCAGACGCCTAATAGCAGGACCAGATGCAAACAGCACCTCAAATCCTTTCCTTATCGGAGCTCTCAGGAAAGGTTAGCCTTGTCCCGTGGGAAAGAGAGAGGGTGAGAGTCAGAGGGTATGGAAAGAGTTTAAAAAGTGGGAGAGAGCGAGCGAGCTACCTGAGATTGCTTTGTGCAAACTTAAAAGTTTAGTGAGAGCGCTAGGGGTTTTGTACAAGTAATATTTTGACAGGCTCTTGTTCTAGTAGATTTAAAACACAGCAATAGTGCCCCTAAATAATACAACAGCGAGGAGGGCTAACACTACCCAGAGCAGTCCTGATGGTAATGTAGGGCTGAAAAGTGATGAGGTGAACTGTATATGATGGTGTTCATGCAAGGGCATGGTCACCCTGGCCGAGGGTGGGGTGGGGTGAGGGTTTAGGGTGATAAGTAGTCTAGATTTGTGAGAGCTATGAAAGTCAGAAGGACTAGTTCCTGAGTAAGGGGGAAATAAAAACATAAAAATTTACGAAATACACTTCAGAACAATCCAGTATTTCATTGTGATAGTGTTTATGATGTTATTTGCGAGAGGTTGTAGTAGGAAGAAGCCAGTAGTGGAACATAAAAAAACAAACAAAAACAAAACATGAGTTGAGGATAAGCAGCCTACTAATTAGAGAACTATGTGAAATGATACAAATCTACTATATTGTACAGTATGTGTATTTATATGTTCTTAGGAAAAAATGAAGACATTTCATTTATACCAACACAAAATTAAAAAAGGAAGGAAATAGTATAAATTTAAATAGTTTGCAACCTTCTCTCGCATGTTCACCCTTTCCCTTTCTAACTTCTTGATTTCAGATGTAGCAGGCCTGTGCCCAGTTAACAGAGTTAAGTATTTATATAAAAGCAAGAGACTAGTATCGGGTGATGTGCGCTGTTGTGGTATTCACTTGCATCAATACCACATTGATTATACCTAGCATAGGCACTGTGAACTGCGGGGGAAAAAATAAATCAATAAGATGAGCCCTCAGACGTGAAGGTTCACATCATCTCCAAAGCCAGAACCTTTTTTTTTTTTTTGTTGTTGTTCAAGATTTAGCTACATGTTGGATTTAGAAACTTTCAGAAAGGCATAGCTCTGTGAAGGATCTATATTTCCAGATGCATCTTGATGACATATCAGTGTTCAAAAGCTTACCGTCTGCAGGCAGCCTACAACATTTAAACAGTATCTGTAGTGGAGATGACCGTGACTGTGCAAAGCAGTGAGAGGTCATTAAATTATTTTTTATTTAATTATTTGTATTTGCGAACATGCACAGAACCTCATAGTTGTGAGAGCACTTCCGTTCTGCGAGCACCGAGTCATGCGCACTTTCTTTCCCTTCACTTGTGAGTGAAGCTTAATTAAAGATAACAAGCCATGGTCTAAAGTTATTTTTAATTTTTTTTTTGGTAACATTTATGCTTTTAATAATCTGAGAAGTTGTGTTCGGATAAATAGAAAAAAGTTAAATTATAGAGATAATTTCATAGCAATTCACTGCTATTATTATTGTTAGGCACATTAATATCGTTGTATTTATGATTGGCAGCGTGTGAACAGTTCGTGGTAAGGAAAAATTTAAAT